CTATCTGACAGATTGCATGCAGCTGCAAAGAGAATTGGTATATTGGAAGGCAGGTCTTGGAAAACACCACAGAGTGATAAAGCTGTTGAAATATAAAGCTAAGTTTGAAGGACGTGGCTGGTGAATGAGGAGATCTAAATACGTCTTATTGAAGCCCCAGTGAAAGTAACCAGAGAAAATATAGGAAAGATAATGGTTAAAGAAGCAATTGCCAAGAATTTTCTATAACTGAAGACAAGTTCAATTGAAAACAGACACTGACTTGGGAACAGGAAAAGTTAATTCAAATTTCTGAAATAAAATCATTCTGAATATGGAAAACACCAAAAGTAAAGAGACTTTAAAAATCCCAATGGGGGAAAAAAAGATGCAACATTAACAAAAAGCTTTGTAGATATTTCTTGAATGAACTGTTGAAAGCAAACCGGTGGAAATTTATACCAGAAAAATATTAAAACCAAAAGTGGTATGCCAAAGTCAGTATCAGACAGATCACTTTAAGCTATATAACTCATTCTTTGAGTTATTAGATAGAATTAAATTTCTCACTTCTAAAAGGTCTGTTTAGTTCTTTCTCAAACTCACCTTTTCAAAAATCATATGATATTGACTCCTTTGGGCATTATCCATGCATTTATCATCTTTTGTCTCAGACTCTTGACAATGGCCTACCCAAACTAGGCATGACAGTAAATGTTAGTTGAAATGAAGAATGTCATTTAGCAACATTTACCTTGTAGACACTATGTTCGATTCACTATGTTATATGCTATGACAAGAATCAAATAATGTAGCAGACAGACTACCTCTCCTTAAGGTCATTTTGTTTTAAATAACAAACTGGGAATCATGAATTCAGAAGCATGTAAAAGCTGATATTTATGCCAAGGCAAGTATAATGCTTCACATCTGGAGCCCTATACATGAAAGGATTGATAATTGTCTCTGAGAGATGCCTTGAAAAGCAATCAAAATTAAGTATAGCATCAACACCCTTTAAAGGATGGGTATCAGGAGAAATAATGTCGTTTTTTAATGATGAAATGTGTTTTAATAAAGGAGTCTATGAAAATAATTTTTTTCAAGATACATTAAAAATCAGAATTATTTATCATGGAATATAGATTTTAAGTTCTAATAGACTTATTTCATTAATTATGTTTTGTAAAGGGTTTATAAATAGATCACAAAGTGCTATGCATTATTCCAGTGCAATTTCTTACTAATATGAATCCACTATGCAGTTGTCTTACCTCAAAGTGCTGAAGTTTGATATTCTTCTTTTTTTCCTTTTTCTTTCTTTTTAATTTTTTGGGACGAAGTCTCGCTCTGTCACCAGGCTGGATTGCAGTGGCATAATCTCGGCTCACTGCAACCTCTGCCTCCCGAGTTTAAGTGATTCTCCTGTCCCAGCCTCCCGAGTAACTGGGACTACTGGTGTGCACCACCTTGCCCAGCTAATTTTTTAATGTTTTTTCTATTTATTAGTAGAGGTGGGGTTTCACCATGTTGGCCAGGATGGCCTCAATCTCTTGACCTTGAGATCCACCCACCTCGGCCTCCCGAAGTTCTGAGATTACAGGCATGAGCCACCACGCCCGGTCTTTGATATTCTTCTCAAGCTTGATTTGAGTATATACCTAAAAGAAGCTGGTTGAACCAGACAGCCTCTGAAAGTCTCTGCTGGCTTTCTAGATGAGTTATATAGTTTAAAGTTATCTTTAAATTTAAATGTAACTTTCTATTAGTGTCTAATAAAAATGAAAGCCAGTTGTCAGTTGTGAGAAATATAAACTAACATTCTATTAGACAACAAAATCCACTTTTTAGAAAAATATTTAAATTGAGTGTTTCACCTAGTGATTTAACCTATGCTTATCTAGAGTAAAAGGACTTCTTTATGAAATGCAGCGAACCCTGGTAGATGTCACTTAAAAACATTAAAGAAGGCTGTCATAAAACACAATATAAAAAGAAATACAGCTGACAATTTAAAAAAAAAAAAAAAGGTTGGTTGGTAAATACAGCTCAAATATGGGAGGACTAGAAAGCAGGTGGCCAGCTTCCGAAAGCCAGCGCGGGGGAAGTAGGGTCCAGCTTCTCACTCAAGGTGTCAGCACAGCAGGTGCGTAGATGTCAGGCGACTCCCAGGAGCCAAAGACAGCACATCCCCCAGGATCCCCTTTTCTGGGAGAACCTCATCAGACTGAGTACTAAACAACTAATCACAATAAACGTACCTTGTTTATGCGGAGGCTTCAAATTAACCCATCAACAGTTGAGGAAATTCTGAAGTGACTCTCAACCCGTTTTATTGCTTACTGTATGCTAAGTAAAAATGTCTGGGTATTTTTCCATTCAACATTTGTGTGTAATTAATTCAGCAAATGTTTATTGAGCACATACTACATGTCGGCTACTGTTCTAGGGGCCGAGGGTACAACAAAATAACAAAACAGTTGAAAACCTCACCCTTTCGGGGCTTACATGTGCTGGGGTAAGCATTTACATTAAAATAAGTAGGTAAAATATATAGTATGTCTGCAGAGTTAAGTGCTACGGAAAAAAAAAAAAAACAGGAAGGAGCATAGGAGCTCTGTGGTGGTGCTGGTGGGGCCTATTATTTAAATAGGTTGATCACAAAGATCACTGATAAGCGATCTTTGAACAAAGAGTTGAGAGGAGCCATGCAGGCAAGGGGGAGACCTTCCAGGTAGAGGGAATTATAACTCTGGAGTTCCTGAGGTGGGATCGCACTCGGGGAACTCCTGGCCAAGTAAAACCACGGTGCCTGGAGCAAGAGGGGTCAGGGCAAGAGGGGTCAGGGCAAGAGGGACTGGATGAAGGCAGGGAACCATGTCTGCCGGGGTGAGAGGTTTGGTTTTTACTCTGAGTGAAATAGGAAGCCACAGGAGGGTTTGTTGCAGCAGTGAGGCATGAACCGATGCATGCTTTGAAAAGACCACTGCAGCCTCTACATTAGACATTGACTGCAGGAGATTTAGAGGCACAAGCAGGGAACAGTCAGGTGGCTGTTGCAGTGACCCAGGTGAAAGATGATGTCAGAGGTGCTGATTTAGGGGATCTATGAGCTGTCCTCATAACAGGAATGCTATCAGCCCTCCAGCAAACAGTGACAAAATTGTTTTAAATGGATACTGAAGTTCTCTTGATGTTATGTAAGGGTGAACAAAAGCATTGTCTAATAGAAAGAATTGCATTCTCCTAGTCTGTCCTTTCCAGAAATTCTGGAACTGCCACCATTATTTCAGATGAGACACTCTTTGAAATCAGTATAATAGAGGGAAGTGGTTGAGAGTGACTGCATGTCCAGAGAAGGCTTCTTTGAGGAGATGGCATGTGTGCTGCTACTGAAGGATGAGCGGGACCAGCAGGCAAAGACCAAATCCAGGACAAAGTTTCCAGGGTGAGAATTAGTGTGTCTGTTGAAGAGTATCTGCTCTAGCAAAGGACACAGCAGTAGATGAAGTCAAAGACGTCAGCAAAGGCCGTCTCATACAGGGTCTTGTAGATAATAGAGGCATTTGGACATTGTCACTGTCCCATCATTGTTCTGATGGCAAAAAGCCATCAGGAGGTTTGGAAATATACAGTGACAGGAGCTTACTGACATTTTACTCATTGGCTGCTGGGTGGGGAATGGTTTCCAAGAAGGGAAAGAATGAACGTGGATTTTTCAGCAGTGTAGCTAAGACTGTCCACAGTAGCCTAAACTAGTGCAGTAGCACTAGAAATGCGGCGATGTAGACAGATTTGCGATATATATGGAAGGTAGAATTGATAGGACTTGCTGATGTGGCCTTGAGGGGAAGAGAGAATCATCAGGGATAACATCTGGTACTATGGCTTGAGCCACTGGTTCTAATACAAGGAAGACTGGAGGAGCTCAAAGAAATGAGTCAGTGAATAATGCCCTTATGAAATCATGAAACATTTAGGGGTTGAATAATGTTGACTGTCAGTCCTGGATATTTGAAAATACTTATGTGATGAATAGCCTAATTTTAGATAATCAGTTAGAATATGTGAAAATGCCTGTTGTTAAATCGGAAGGAGATTTAAAGATTTGTTTTAACCGTAACTTATTTTTAGTAAGGACAACTCCATATCATCCCTAAAAATAAATGTGTGACTTTTGCACAAGAATCCCAGAGAGGAGTATTTATATTCTGATTCATCATTTTACTACATTTACAATCAGGAAAGTCTTCATAATCTCCAATTTTAACCGTATAGCTAAAAAGTACTTTGGTTCTTTGTATAAAGGGAAAAATGATTAATTTTTAAAATTTTTAAATTTTTTTATAAAGCTGAAATTGTTGCTAAAACTCTTACTCTAATTTACACAAAGCAGTAAGCATTTGTAAAGATTTGTATACACACACATATGCATACATATACTGATCTTTTTTAGGGTAGGTTAATACTTGGGAACTTTTATTCCAGGCAGAGGTTAGTGTGGTATCTTGTAAAGAGGCTTTTGAATTCCAAGTAACTTAGTTGCCGAAGAAAGAATAATTCAATCACCTGACATAAAATCAAGTAAATGGATTCCTTTTTGAAGATATACATACCAGCTTGATTTTTCTCCCAATTAACCTTTTTAGAACTTGGTAATTTGATTATTTTAGGTTAATGCTTCAATTCCAAGTTTAACCCTGAAGAATCTTGATTGATAGATAACACGGATATTGAATTTATCCACATCCAAAAATATGATCACTAGATTTCAAATAAGTTTATCATATATAAAATATTTTAAATGACAGATTAAATATCTCCCTGTGATTGAAACACAGTGACGTGTTTCAAAATAATATTTAATTCTCCTTTTAAAAATCATTAATTTTGGAAATTTATGGCTGAGATGAAAAATATGTTTAAAGGCTCATAGTAAATCAGTATTAACAAACAAGTTGTCTCCCTCATTCCCTCTCTCTGTCTCTTTCTCTCTCCTCTCGCAACACGCCCGGTGGCAGATGGTACGTGAGCAGTACACTACAGCCACAGAAGGCACCCACATAGAGAGGCCAGAGAATCAGTGTGTCTACAAAATTGGCATTTATGGCTGGAGAAAGCGTTGCCTCTACTTGTTTGTTCTTCTTTTACTCATCATCCTCGTTGTGAATCTTGCTCTTACAATTTGGATTCTTAAAGTGATGTGGTTTTCTCCAGTAAGTATCGTTGTTTTCTGGTAAGCATGTTCTTGTTTTGTTCACTAAATCACTTCATCTATATTGTATTGACAGGAGTTTCCTTTAATGTAATTAACATTTGTTTCTTCGCTGTCTGGATCAGATTTCAGAAACAAAATATATATGTAGCATTTACATTTTTCCCTTTTCCTTAAACCTCATTGTAAACTGTAGTCTGGTGCTTTTGTGTGTTTTTACTGTAAATTTTTTTATTAGTCATCTCTACATAGTGGGAATAACGTACTAGACATTAGTTTGTGGTTGATTGGGTCAAGATGATTTACTGATTATTTAATTCATCAGTTTGTAAAACTGTATAAATCAGTTTTCCTAATTTCATTAATTCATAAATATTTACTTTAAATGCCACTCTCATTTTAAATTTTTTTTATTTACAGAGGTAATGAAGTTACACTCTTTCATTTTTAAAAAACCCCATGCTGATATACAATAAATTCATGTACACACTTCAGCATTTGACAACACATTTAGTAACTACAACATCAACAATCTTAAGAAATTCATATTCTATTTTAAACATTCTTGTATTTTAAAGATAGCTACATAATCTTATATTCTCTGATAACATTTTGTGTACTTTTGAAAAAATACTTAATGTAGCGTGTCTTAATTTTGTGAGATAGCTACAGTGAGTTAATAATATTGCAGAGAACATCGCAGGCAGGTCAGTGTGTTGCTTACATGCATCTGAAGGTGCGATATGTGCACAGGTTCTTTCTAAAAACAATACTTGAAGTCATTCATTCTGAAACACCTTCTATTATTATAATTCTTCACTTTCTATGCAATTATTTCTATCCTACTATAGTTAGCCAGCAGATACATTATTTTATTGACATCATAAATAAATATTTATGTTTTTATATATGCAAAGAGGTAAAATACAAATCAAATCAAAATATAGTTTGAAACTATGTTAGTATTTTATATATTAATATAAATGTAATCAATGTAAGTATATAAGCTTTTATAAATTATATATAAATATAAATATATAAATACATATGAACAATTATATAACTATATTCAAATTAATCCAATTAAGTTGTGATTTCTTGGTTAAAATTTACAAAATCACTATTTCTACAGCATCACAATACAATTTAGTTCCATTGGACAAGGTTACTTCATGAAAGCAGCACAACTAACAGGATGTACGTTTTTGCACATCATATACATTTTAATATCTAAATGTAAAATATCTGAATATTTTTTGGAAACTGAAGCAGTGTTAAAGTCCTCAAATTACAAACCATGGGATTTTTCAGAGATAACTTTGAATAGAGAGCCCTGCATCAGCCTGCTGTATGTCCCTTAGGCAGAAGGTTAAGAGAAGCAGTGTCCTGGGAAGGAGGCCCGTGGAAGGGCCTGGGAGTGAGGAGAAGCCACCCACAGCCCAGCACGTGCTGAGCAAGGACAGACTTTATCTGGAATGAATGATGTGCATTATTTCTGAAATACGAGTGAATTAATTTTGTAAACTACGTGACTGTAAAGTGACAATGTCTGCTTTATACTCTTGTCACATAGGATCTAAAACAACTTCGAGGTATTATAAATTTAGATTAAATTAAGTTGTGCCAGCAGCTGAATCCACTTCACTGATGGAGAAAGTCACCCCACAGAGGTCAGCAGACTTTCCTGCCATCACTGCAGCTGCCCATTTCCTGCCCTTTCTAGTGAGATATGGTCATTGACTGTGGTATTTTCTTCAGCCTTAGGAACCTGTTGCTAATTGCTAGTGAGTATTCAGGATTCTTTAGTGCTGCCTTTAACAAAATAAGAAAAACTACCACTAATATTTATGGAATCAAAAGGCGAGATACCCAAAGGCACTAATCTACAGAAAATGCCAGGCCTCAATTGGAAGATGCTGGCTAGACTTTGAGTCATTATTCTCAAAGTGGAATGACATAAACGACGTAATTTTCATAGGTGCATGAGTTTGATCTCTTGCTTTTGTAATTATCTCATATGTTTCGAAACAGTAAATTATAAATTAATGTATGCTTTAATTCTTACTGATTTGAAAGATTTTAAAATATATGATTTCATGTTCTATTTATTTTAAATTTTATTTCAAGAACAGCTTACACAAGATCTACCCTCTTAACAGATTTTGATTGTACAATATGATATCGTAAACAATAGGTACAATGTTGTACAGCAGATCTTTAAAACTTACTCATCCTGCTTGATTGAAATGTGAAGTCCATTGATTAACAGCATCCATTCTCACTTCCTCAGCCCCTGGTAGCCATCATTCTACTCTTTGTTCAATGAGTTTGCCTACTGTAGATACCTCATACAAGTAGAAGCATACAATATTTGTACTTTTGTGCTTATTTCATTTTGCATAATGCCCTCAAGGTTTACTCATGTTGTCTCACATTGCAGAATGTTTTTCTTTTTTAAGGTTGAATAATATTCTACTATATGGATATACATTTTCTTTATTCATTTGTCCTCTGTGGACATTTAGATTTTTTCCACATCTTGATTGACTACTATAAGTAGTGCTATGATGAACATGAAAGTGCAGATATCTCTTCCAGTTCCTGATTTCCATTGTTTTGGATAAACAACAAACTATCTGAAAAGGAAATTAGGAAGGCAATCCCATTTTCAATAACATCAAAAAAATGCAATATCTAGAAATAAACTTAACTAAGAAGGCAAAAGGCTTGTACAATGAAACCTGCAAAATACTGATGAAAAAATTAAAGACACAAATAAGAAGAATCCCATGTTCATCAATTAGAAGACTTAATATTAATAAAATGTACATGCTACCAAAAGTGATCTGTAGATTCAGCGCAATTCCCATCAAAATCCCTATGTTATATTTTTTAAAGAAATAGAAAATTCAAAATTTTCTATTTTTTCATTTTTTTTTTCTATTTTGGACTGTTTTGAGAAAACAATCCAAAAATTTATATTTTGGATTGTTATATTTATATTTTTTCAAAACAATCCAAAAATTTATATAGAACCACAAAAGACCTGAGACAGCCAAGTCAGTCTTGAGAAAGAAGAACAAAGCTAGAGGCATCACACTTCCTGGTTTTGAAATATATTACAAAGCTATCACAATTTAAATGGTATGGTACTTGCATAAAGAACAGCATATAGAGCACTGGAATAGGACAGAGATCCCACACAAAAAAAAAATCCATGCATGTGTGATCAACTGATCTTTGACAAGGGGGCCAAGAATATCAAATGAGGAAAAGATAGTCTGCTCAACAGATGGTGCTGGGAAAACTGGATTTTCACATGCAAAAGAATGAATTTGGATCCTTATCCTAAACCATACATAAGAATTAATGCAAAATGGATTAAAGATTTAAACATAAGTACTAAAACTGTAAAACTTCTAGAAGAAAATATTTGGGGGAAAGCTTCATGACATTGGCCTTGGCGATGATTTCTTGAATATCAAAAGCACAGGCAACCAAAGCAAAGATAGACAAATGGAACTACATCATACTAAAAAGTCTCTGTGCAGCAAAGAAAATAATCAGCAGAATGAAAAGACAACCCATGAGATGGGAGAAGATATTTGCAAACTGGATATCTGATAAGGGGTTAATTTCCAAAATATATAAAGAACTACTATAACTCAAGAGCAAAAAGACAATCTGATTTAAAAATGGGCAAAATATTTGAATAGACATTTCTTTAAAGAAGACATACAATGGCCAATGTTCAGCATCATAATCACCAGGGAAATACAAATCAAAACCATGGTAAGATACCACCTTACACCTGTCAGGATGGCTATGATCAAAAAACAAAAGTCAACAAATATTGGCAAGGATGTGGGGAAATTGGAACCCTTCTGCACTGTTGGTGAGAATGTAAAATGGTTCAGCCACTATAGAAAAATATATGGAAATTCCTTCAAAAATTAAAAATCAAACTACCATATGATCTAACAATTCTGCTCTTAGGTATTTATCCAAAAGAATGGAAATCATTTTTTTTTAAATTTTATTCATATATAAACCAATGTATTTTTTTTAACATTAGCATGCCTAAGATGTAATGTGTCTATACAAGAACTTTTTTGAGTACTTTGACACTGAAATGGCAAAGTTAAATAGGGCTTTGAGCATTTGCAGAGGTCTGCATAATTTTGAACTTGTAACAATTAGCAAATAATTCTCTACTCAAACTCAGTTTAATTGCTTATCTATCACCCACTCAGTTGTTAGTCAGAATATAGGGAAATCATAATTTTACAAATTAACCAAGTTTAGCATGGCTTTCTTTGTTCGGATCCTCAACAGTGTAGCAATGGCATCTTTATTATTTTATATATACTGTCATTGCAACACCTCATCATGCTTTAATATTTCACTGTAGAAAACAGTAAAACTAACTGCAAATGTTGTTTTCAACAACGCCAAGGTAACATTAGGAGAGAAAGCCAGTAAAACATCACAAAATGAACACATAAGGATGCCAAAGAATTTGGAAGTTTAAGAGAGAGAGAGAGAAAAGACATGAGCAAAATGTTGACAACAGAAATCATCTGAATCCAAATAAGGCTGAGCCTGGTTTTATCCACCCAACTGGGGTTAGAAAGAACCCAAATTACTAATTTCTCACGAATCCAGTTCTACTTTTAGAATTAAAACTTCATGTAAGAGAAATTTACACAATTTCCAGAAAAGACATCTGTTGAATATAAAGTAATATTTAGGACACTGTAACAACTGATGCCGAACATAAAGATTCTAAAATATTCCCTGTTAGCCATTATAGCAGTTAAATCAGTTAGGCACGTGGTTATCAAAACAAATCAGTGTAGTAGATTGCCTTATTATGCGTTTTTCCTTACTATATTTTCCTTCTATAAAAATAATATGCAATATTAGTTTAGTTGCAGTGTTCATGAGTATAGAATAATATACATGGGTCATATCTATATTTTAAAATAAGATACCTCTAAT